TTACTTCAGAACTTTATGACAAGATAAGACAAAAGTAAAAAGCTGGAGCTGTTCAATCTCTATGCATGTCGCGACATAAACATAGATAAACGATTTTTATTAGGTATTTCATATGTTTTCTGAAATGGGTATTATTGCTGGGGGCTTTGGAACCGTACAAAACATGTTGCCAGAGATTCTTCGAAAGCAACGTTAGCTAGTGGTGTGTTTCATGGGGTTCTGATTGACTCTTGCCTCCGGAATGCTTGGTTCAATCACCTCGAACAAATTTTCGATAAGTAGATTGTACAGCTGAAATAGATAACAACACGACAGCTTGAGTCATTTAAATTAAACATGTTGACGAATTAAAACGCCATATATATTATTTACCACTGTCTGGTCGCAATTTTTTTTTAAAATAAATTTAACTAAGATATATCGCGTTTTAAACCGTTAAAGTGTTTTATTTTAATGCTCACGTAAACGTCATTTAAACTTACTACTTGTTGGTAATATACTAAAAACGTTTTCTACATAATTATATTTAAATTTTGTATTAAGAATTTGAATAAAAGAACAACAAAGTGTTCGCACGTCTAGACTAGAACAGCAACGTATATACATAATAATGTTCACAATTATTCTATTCATTAGAACGATATATTGAAACGCAAACAACAAACGAGCTTTATAGTAAAGTTTACGATATAATTGGATGTTGTTTTGAAATATTATTTGTACAGTAGACAATTTTCACTTAAACTTGTTAGCTCTAGGCTTAAGGTTTTATGTGGAGCGCCTTTGTCTAGGTTGTGTCTTTGAAGTCTGATTTTCTCTAAGGTTTCTTGAACTCGACTCACCTATTAAATGTCTCATAGTCAGTTTAATATTCTCTGATTTATTTATTCTTACGGTTCAAGTACTAAGCACATTTTTTTGCGTTCTTATTGTAACTATTTTCAATTCGAAGTTTTATACATTAAAACTTTTTTCAAATTGAAAAAATTTACAACATAGGCGGGACTTGAACCGGCATCCAGCACGATACGACCTGCTACTCTGAACAATTGCGTTATCGTTACACTTCGCCGTTAGATTTTCACATAAGATGATATTACAGAGTTCCTTGTTTGTAAACATTATTATTTCTCACACGTTATTGCACATGAAAGCGTTACGTAAATTTAAAAAATTCAAGCCCCGCCCTGTGGTAATTTTTTTCCATCAAAATTTTTTGATTAAAGATTTTAAATTTATATTTATATGTTCATGTGCAATAAAGCATGTGAAAAATAATAAAGTTTTCAAATTATGCATTTACATAGGACAAATATTGTCATGAAAATCTACGCTCCGGGATGAACATCCGCGATCAGAGGCCCTCTACAGCATGCGAAACGTCGGGCCGCAGTTAACTAATATATTTCGCGTTCGAAACCGTTCAATAATGTTTTATTTAAGTATCATTGGAATGTGAGCTTTATTTAAGAGAGTTTTTGACAGATTGACATTTTTATCTACATAATATTATGTATTTTAAGTATATAAAAAAATGTAACCTCTATTACTAAAGCAACGTTACGGTGTTTTTCATGGTGTCTTTTTGCTTTAGTTAATTTTATGACTGTTCTTTAAAATTACTATTCAATTCCCATTTGAAAATTATAAATATTAAAATTCTCTTTTATTTACAAAAGTAAGATTCTACGAAATATATCCCCTCTTTAGCACGAAATAATATTTTTCTCAGTAACGTGCTAGTTGTACCACAGATCAACTAAGAGACACAATAAAACGAAGAAACCAATAAGAATAGTTGAATTATTCTCGGAAGAGATATAACAATCCGACTCCTTTCAGAGACGTCGGCTTAAGTCATACGATGTAACGATTTTTACATGAGGTATTAAAATTCTTGTTAAGTTGCAATGAAATGTTAAATTTGCTATCGTTATTCTTTATAAATTAAAATTTATATCTAAATAAAACACTTTAACGGTTTAAAACGCGATATGTTAGTTAAAAATCAATATTTCTTTCAAATAAGTTTAACTAATATATCGCGTTTTAAACCGTTAAAGTGTTTTATTTAAATGTGTACTACTCGCGTAAACTATAGACTGTATAAAATTTATATTGTTTAGCCTAAAACTAGGTTTTAATTTTACGCAAGAAAAAAGTTCAAACGTAACATAAAGTAAGAAAATTAATACATAAGAGACACATTGAATCTTATCCTGTTGCGGTCTCCACTTCATTATTCTTACTTTAATACTACTTTCACCTCATCTGAATCAAGCTACAATTTATTAACTAGCGTGGCTACTAGCTTTCCTCGCATTTGCTGACTTCATTGCATTCGGGGAAGAATGGACAAACCGATGACACACGTAAAAGCGAGTCTCAAATTTACTATAGATGGCGTAACATTACTCTGCCAATTGACTGCATTGTCATATATAGTCAAGTACATTTTAACCCAATTGTGTATTAATAAGGATGTTTTGTAGCAATATAACCAGAAACAAGCCTTGTCGAAAGTAATCTAAAATAATAAATAATCAAGCAAGAATAAATTTCTATATAATATGAAACCGAACAATTTATTTTTGTACCATCCACGACGTCCTTTCTCAACACTTTGACCACGCCACAAAAACAAGAAAATATAAAATCGAGACAGCTGGAGATATTGCTTGGACGGAGCAGGTGCGCGGAGTAAGAACCCAGTCTATATTGGAATACACTTCGTTCTCGAGTTATTGGTCATCCCGTTTGCTTGGATTGTTAACATGGAATTCATCTATCGGCTGATTTTTATTTAAGATGAGTTAATTGGTTTATTACATTGTCTTTTCTTCTTTTTATATGAAAAAAGAGAATGGGCAAGCATGGGGTACACTTGACAGAAGGAGAAATATCTCATCCAAACATTTCAACAATCGCTGTCGACTTATTTTGTCTTTGGATAATAGTATAGCCACAGACTGAAATCGAATCGCGTTTAAACATTAATACTCAATAAAGGAGTGTGTACGTATTGGCCATATTTTGTAATCTTATTTTTAAAGGTAAAACAAAAATCTGTATAAGCCCACGCAATTAACCGAAACCTTTGAAAGCTTTTATTTTGTAATGTTATTTATTCTGTAATATTAAGTAATCGAAAAAAATAACAATTGAATTACCAATCATAATAATATTGTGTTCCTTGTAAACCCAGTTAAGGGTTTATTATCGTTTTTCAAAGTAAGTTATGTTTATTTTTTGTTTTAGATATTACTACACAAATCCAAAAAAGCCGTCGACCAACAAGTCGCCCATGCAATAAACAGTATTCTACGCCAATAGCTTGTAAGAAGCCACTGTCATAAAAATGATTAGCTATTGTTTTATAGAATACCGATTATATGTCATGCTTTTGAAACAATTATAAGGTTACAGTAGAATTGATTTGATAACAACTAGACTACTTTTTAAGACTATTTAAAGACTGTTCGTCTTAAATACCTTAGATATATAACATCTAAAAAAGATGCGCATATTTTGGCTTTAGGATATACGGTAATCCACAGACTGAAACCAAAACGCGATTAAACTTCACGGCTCTTTCATCTGTGGAGGGTGGTTCGTGATCACTTTTCTCAAATTCGAAAAATCTCATCCCAAAATGAATTAGGTACCTATTTATTTATTGCAGTTCACCATTTTGGTTAAAAGTTTTCAATTAATTTTTTATATCTTGTTCAAAATAATTAACAAGTATTTACCGGTAATATTTACCTGACAAGCCAGACATTAACATCAATTCAGAAATATAAGTTTCGCGAAAGCAGAATAAACTTAGCTAATGCATAAAGTTGCGACCTAAATAACTTTGAAGTTGGGAAAATAATTTTATATCGATACATTGAAGTTGATATTGGCAGAATACCAATATATCGGAGACAAAGTTTCGAAAGACCCCCATCCGTTGCAACTTGTGATATTCCACTCTGCCAAATGTCTAACCTCGGAACTAGATTTTTCGGTTTATGTCAAACAACATAATTTTTAATGTTACGACACTCGAGTTAGCGTGGGTGTCATTGTTGAATTGCAACTTTCATCTGTAGACTGTAGTAGTTCGTAACCCGGACAGAATTTTGAAATTCCTACCGCCGATTTCATATCCAAATTTTCCAAAGTCCAACATATTTTAGGAAAATCACATATTGATTAGAAACATGTTGGAAATGGTAGGGATCGACACCACGATCCATTTATTATTAGCCATTACATAAGAACCGTTAAACCAACGAGTCCATCTCATAGTAATTATAATGATGCGACTTCTATGACCTTTCCGACCGCATTTTTCCTGGGATTCCAACCAGAGACATGCGCAGTGCTATTTAATATTAAGCTTAGTAAGGAGTTATACGTACTAGCTGTACGCGAATAGTACACATTTAAATAAAAGACTTTTAAGGCAAAATACATTAGTTATTTTTTTATTTCGCGTTTTTAACCGTTAAAATGTTTGTTAATTTATCTTAATGACAATATCATGACTCTATCAGTAATGTTATCTGGATATTTAGATTATGAAAAGCTGCAGTGCTTCTATGTATTTGTTTATGTTATAACATATACAGTATTTAAATAAAACACTTTAACGGTTTAAAACGCGATATATTAGTTAAACTTATTTGAAAATGATTTTTAACTTCGGCCCGACGTTTCGGATGCTTTGCAGCAGCCGTGGTCACGGGGAGACACACACAGTATTTTTTGTTAATCAAAGAACAGATTATACAATAAACAATATATTCTACGCCCCTAATATTACTCAATTAGCCACGGTACTAGTTAATTTACAAATAAAAACCGAGACGCAAATAAATCTTAGGCTCTTAAGAATCACGAAATTAAATTTGCCCCTAACAAATACCTGCCGACTAAGAGCATTTCGTAAATAAAAATATTCCGTAGCGTATAATTAAATCTTGTACAACCGAAATTTTCTTTGTTCACAGAAGCTGGCGGCCTCCGTACCACGGAATTGCACATTACCCCTCGCGTCGTTCAGCGCGGGAGGAATGTCACGATGGTCTGCATTTACGGGTTGCATGAGAGCGAGATCTACTCGGTCAAGTGGTACAGGGACTCGCAGGAGTTTTATAGATATTCCCCGTTAGAGTCCCCCACTACTAGAGTTATGCCTGTTAATGGAATTAAAGTTGATGTAAGTATTAACTAACCCACTTTATTTATTGTAGAAAGCTGCGCCGTCAACTTACTTTGGCTTTGGATAATTGGATATCTGCAGATTGGAATGCGATTAAACTTCACAGTTTTTTCATGTGTTGGTGGTTCGCGGCCCGGACGAAATTTCGATTACCACCCGTTTAATATTATAAACTATTTGGTAATTTACATACTTCAATAATGTAATATAAGCTATTTTTTTCTGTTATCTATTCCAACTTTCAAGAGCCATTAGAACAAAACATCAGGTATATCTTGACTAAGTAACCATGGTAACCATATCTGATAACCCGAGGTCCATTACCTAAGCCTAATTGAGGAAAACCTCGATTCGATTGCTCTTCACGCGGTATTGAATCATATTTTTATTGTTCCAGAGGTTAAACTCGAACGAGACACAGGTAGTGATAATAAGGGTGACGCCAAACTTAAGCGGTAACTACAGCTGTGAAGTGATCCAGAATGCTCACACTTTTCCACATTATACGTCGTCGGCCAAACTTGATGTCGTTGGTAAGTTTGTTGGCCGATAAGCGCACTTATATTTCTAACAGAGGGAAACAGAAGACTTGCCTTTTTTTGCCTGTAAACTTTACTATGTATTTTATTTTTGCTATGAAGTTTTTTAAATAAGCACTTTAACGGTTCAAAACGCGATATATATTAGTTAAAATAATTTTGAAACAAGTTTAACAAATATATCGCGTTTTTAATGTGTACTACTCGCCTTAACTACAGACAGTATTTAAAAAAGATTTCTTTTAATTTTCACTTGCATGTGGCACCGCTGTCTTAGGGATTTACTGAAAATCAGTTTCAGGTCAACAAAGGGCCTAATATAAGCTGAGTAAGATCTTACTGTACCAACTAGCAGCACACAACATTATTTCATATTGTTACTAGCGACTCGCCCCGGCTTCGCTCGGGTGCAATGCTGATTCTAAATATACTACGGAAAACGTTATATATAAAAACCTTCCTCTAGATTCATTCTATCTATTAAAAACCGCATCAAAGTCCGTTGTGTAGTTTAAAAGATTCAAGCGTACATATGGACAAAAAAGCGACCTCCTTTTATACTATGTTGTAAAGATTCAATGAATGTTATTTGTTTATTTGATATTAGGTTATATATGTTTTTGTGTGGCTCTACCATAAGCCAAACACAAACTTAATATCAAATGTATTTCTCTCTTTCTCTCAAGTGTGAAATCCACTTGATGGAAGGTGGCTCTAGCCGTATCAACACTAATGAACAACATTAGAATAAGATATGTGCAGTAACTTAACACTGAAGTACGATAAAAATGTTTTTAAATAATGTTACTTTTAAATTCATGATTTTAAATACGTGTAAATGTGACATCGTGTTTTTCGTAAATTCGAATTTAATTTTTTTGAAACTTAAACAAATTTGTTTTTATACATTCAAGAGAAATGTTGATTATAGCTTAAAATTATAGTTCTATTATATCATATGAACATTTTTTGTCTTAACCCAATAATAAGCTTAATAAAATACTGTCTGTACTTTACGCGAGTAGTATACATTTAAATGAAACACTTTAACGGTTTAAAACGCGATATATATTAGTTAAACTTATTTGAAAGTTGAATATAGTCAAGGGGAGGGTTTCAAACGTTGGCTATATACAACTTTCAAATATGTTTCAAACCGTTAAAGTGTTTTATATAAATAAGCTTAATAAACAGTATTTTTAGGAATTTATCTAAAGTATGCCTGAAAATACTCTTCAATTCAAGGCTGTTACAGAGTATTAGTACGCCAGAGATACATTATGTACAAGACATCAATAGTATTGGAACTATCCGAATAGTATTTACGAGCGTGTTTTGCGTGCGTAACCAATAAGTTCGGCTATAACTGCTCTCTCGCAGCCAGATAACGACTGTAACGATCAAGACACGCGATTTTCACCCTTATCTGCATAGTGATGTCGCTTTTATTGGCCCAAGAGAAGTATCGACTGTAATAATGTTTCGGGAAGAATCTATTTTGTTTCGAAGGTTGTTTTTATGGTATGTAGCTGATCCCTGAGCGTAAGATAAATCTACATTTATCCTAAAATTAGAACTTTACAGATTGAAAACTCTTTTGAAATTCCGTTCCGTATTTTTAAATAATCTAACCGACATATATAGCATTTGTAAAAAGTGCTTTATATAAATAAAACACTTTAACGGTTTAAAACGCGATATATTAGTTACATTTATTTGATAATGATTTTTTTACCTTCGGCCCGATGTTTCGGACGCTTTGCAGTAGTAGTGTTTTGTTTTATAATTATATTTCTTATATATAATATATACAAACCATTACTACAATTCTTTTTCACTGTGTTTGTTTGGTGATATAATAAAGAAGAGATTAATAATAAAATCCTTAGTAATAAATTAGTTAACGGCGAGTTATATATTCATTCACTTGTTGCTGGAATAATAGAGTTGTCCGGCTAAAAACTCTTACGAGTTATTGTTAAAATATTTTCTCTTAAAACTAGTCTCAAACAGACAAAGCATTCTCCGGGTAAAAACCTCGAGGCGTTTTCACATCCTATTCACTATTTTACAAGTCAAAGGTCGACTTTGAGTCGTTCTAATGAATAGCTTTTTGAATGTGATCATGATATATATAAAAAAAAGAAACGAAAGAGACAAGAAAATCCAAAATCCTTTCATGGGTATTTCCTAAAATAAAGGCATGTATTGTCGTTTGTATAACTATGAATACATCAATATAGCCCAATATGTGAAAAACAATATTCAGAGACTCTTGATCATAAAAAATATAAACCACATGGATAATTTCATTTCATGTTGTATGTCTTACATATCTTACACTACAGTTCCTGTTAACAAAATGTAATATTATGTACTTTAATATTTTAAAATTTCAGTGTGTATCTGTTTGTGTGTACCAAAATGTGAAATAAATAAATAAAATAAAATACGAAATATATTAGTTAATTAAACTTACATGAACGACTCATCAGTATGTCTTCATGGAAGCCAAAATAGTTCTAAAAAGATCACGTATTATATAAGGAACATAAGTTAACCCTTCAAGAAAATTAACTAGAAAACCGCCAAGTGAGGCATTATATTACAGAGTTCATGCAACTCTAGAGGTCCCTTTTAAAAATAAAATGACATTCTCCATTGTATTAAATGTTCCGAGCTTCTTTGTGGCGCACTAGAACGTTGCCAAACGCTTATAAAAGCATATTATTTTGATCAGTCTCTAGTTTATTTTATTACTCTGTGTGAATACAATATAATAGTTACAATTTTTATGTAAACTGCGTACCTAAAAACTTAACAGTCTTATGTAAACTACATCTATAACTACGCCACTTTAATACTTACTCCCTTTTTTATAAATTCCTCTTATATTTTTGCTACAATATATACGATATTGATGCACTAATTTCTAACAATAACATAGAGTAAACAAAAAAATATATCAAACGTATTTGTACTAAAGACAAAAAAAAACAATAAAAACATTTAAAAAATATATATTAATTATAATACACATTAAACACTGTCTGTGGTTTACGCGAGTAGTACACATAAGTAAGTTTTTTACTTTGACGTCAGAGACACCCTCCATCTTTAGGCTCCCCGTGACCACGGCTGCTGCAAAGCATCCAAAACATCGGCCCGTAGTTAAAATAATTTTAACTAATAAATATCGCGTTTTAAATCCTTAATGTGTTTTATTTAAATATAATGCATATGCAATGTGAAAAATGTGGCGGTATATATTATATATATCTTCATCATAGGTATTGTATATTCTTATATTTGAACCTTTTTTATTAGGATTCGGAGGTCTCCGAGCTACTGAACTTCGAATATCGCCACCGGTAGTCCAGCGTGGTTCTGACGTCACCCTCGCTTGTCTGTACGAGCTGACAGATGCACCGCTCTACTCAGTCAAGTGGTACAGGGGCCGGCACGAGTTTTACAGATATTCGCCAACTGAAACACCGGCGACTAAGATCTTTCCTTTTGCTGGTATCAATGTTGATGTAAGTACTTATTGAATAATTAAACGTAAATTGAACACAAGACTTTATAATTATGAGCTTTAAAGAAGAATATAAACACTTTTAACATCTTAATAATAAAAACACAGTGTTACTTTTTATTAGCACATCTGTCAGGAGACCTTTACTATTCAGTTTACACTTTTAGGTTCTGGCCAGCGCGTCTTAAGTCGTAATAAATCATTTTATTTTTTCTAGACTCAAATAAGCTTATCATTTGATATCATCGACCTACTTAATACTCTTAACCCACTAGAAAAATATAAAAGGCCAGCACTTTAATTACTTCACTTTTAATACGAATTCTTTAGTGTCGCGAGTCGCTCAAGGAGGTTTTCCAGGTCGCCTTTGATACTTTAATTTTACTAACAGTTTTTACTTTTTCCTTTAAAATTAGCTTTTAGCAGTTTATATAGGTGAACACAGAAAGACGTTTTAATGCTTTAATTCAAAGGTAACGAACCTAGTGTGCCGTCCTCGCTACCAATGTCTGTAAAGATTTGAAAATCCGGCCTGAAGTCTTATAAGTTAGAAGTTTCAAGCGTGTATTATTAGTTTAAATGTTTGACGAAAATTGCTTCACATAAATAATTACTTTTTTATTTTTACTTTGATTTTATCGTATTGATTGATACATCGTTTTGTTGTTACTCAAAAACACATGTTCGCATCGCACAATAACGTAAAATGATAATGGTAAAATAAAATGATAAAATTAATTATAATTTCATCATATCTTTAGAATTACGAGTACCAGTAGTAGTGGAGTCGATAATAGTTTTGTTATTTATGTATGGCAGGCTATTACCAATATACACTTCACCGAACATAAAACTCACTAAAGCCACACAAAGCGATCGTTTACGTCTGATATAAGTTCTCTGAGCGAAAAATATGTGAATACCATCTAAGATCTTCAACATCAAATATGTCTTCTATTCACGTATTTCACGAGCTATCTGAAAAATACCTGAAGATCAGTGAACCTAATCTTTTGGGATCCAAATTTTGGTGTACAAAGAAATCTCCTAAGAATTTCTTGATTTTCTCTGACTGAATAGATGTCTAGTTTAGTTGATAAATTCGTTTAGGTACGCTTAATGGTATGCGAGCCAGGGAATGTAGCAATGAAAAGAAAATGTTATATTAAAAGCTGTACATTTTCTGGAAGGATTTTGAAACTTATATAATACTTCGCTTTTTTATATAAATTACAAAATTAATTCACTATTAAACAAACTTCATTTAAGTATTTGGTTCGCAAATAATTAAGATCATAAAAGGATTAAAATTATTCTAATGATAGACTAAAAGTATATAACATACTTCATATATTAATAAATATGTCTTACGTATCATTAAACAAATACACACACATCATAATTACTTTCTAGTCTTTATGGTCATTCTTTTTAATCGACTTGAAAAAAGTAGATTAACAATTTGATTTCTACATATGCTTTTTTATGTTTGTTCGCGCATCTTCGTCTTTCATAGACCGATTTAGATATTTCTAAGCAAAGTAAGTTATTTTAGTTTACTGTTTCAAGTCTTATTTTTTGTAAAATTATATTTTATACACTCTCCCATAGGTTGATTATAAAATTTTATAAATTCATGAAATATATTCTCACGTTATTTTGAATATTTATTATATTTTGCTTGTTTTGATTAATAACAGTTACTCTTCGGTCCCTTTTGAATTAATTAAATTCCTAGGTACTTCCACGTTGTGGTACAAGAAGAAAATAGATTAGCTGACAGACCACTTGTTACAAGGAAAAGTCTTTTTAATATAATTTTCACTGTAGCAAAAGAATTTTCTTAATTTATTTATTTTTGATTCAAAAACATATCCGTCTTATATTTTTTTTTAGTCTAATTTATTTTTATTTCCTTATTTGTAATAACGTGTTACTTTATTCCTTGATGTATTCCTTGTACTGGTTGTGGCAGAAATCTAATTTGTATAAAATGTTTACGAATGACAGAGGGTTTTGACTAAGAAATTCTTAAATAAACGAAATGATTCGTTCTGAACCCAAATATTCTTACGCCTAACGTAGACGGGTACAGCTAATATGTTTGACCACATCTTAATAACATATAGAGCGTATTCACTATGCGATCCAACCGGGCATTTATTTATCGCTTCATCCTATAACTCAAACCACACGCTGTTACAAAGCCCATCCACACCGGCGCGCTTAAACAATATCCTCTAATACACCGTAATTGTTATCTTTAAGCTCCTTTGTTGCAGTGACAATTCGGATAACATTATTAATTGAATTTACATTTCAGTATGACTCAAATGGTTCTAGCTTTTTGGATATTTTTAGGTGTACGAAATATCAGTCTTCGATAATCTACATGCTATTTAGCTAAAATTTAAAATCAAAATAGCGTATGTAGTTTAAGGGAGTAGTAAATTTTTAAATGAAACACGTTTAACTATTTAAAACACGTAACTTATTACCCGAATAAGTTTTAATATTTCATCGCTTTATTTTCTGCCCGTGAACATGGCTGCTTCAAAGCATCCGAAACGTCAAGCCGTATTAAAAATAATTTTTAAATAAAATCATTGTCATCAATGGCTTAACAGCCCCCTGTGGGCCCTAGCCTCCTCTAGTCACTTCCGCCATCGCGATCTACCCTGAGCTCACTGTTCCAAGTTCTGGACGCCCAAAAATTTAAAAAAAAATTTAACTTATACATTTTGTTTTTTAACAGTAAGGGCGTTTTATTTAACAGGATTTCACTCTCACATTATAAATTAAAAACTTCCTCACAACTAAAATCGACCGGACGTTACGTGAATTAACTAAGAAAACAGTTCAGAGATAACAGCGAAAACGGTTCGCGTGTTCTTTGTTAATTTTCTTGAGGTTTTATATAAACCCAGATGTTCTTGGATCCATCCTTTATCACTGCCTCTTATTTTATAGTCGCGATAATAACGCGATGGAGCGCTCCGCCCTTTTGTATTGCACAGCTGAGCTTGAACGGGTTACGTTGGAATACAGCATAAAATGTGGCCTGCAATCCATTGGACTCAAGGTTCCCGCTTTGTTTCGTTGGAAAAATGATTGAACGACTGAGTACAGAAATATGCTCTCGACCTATATTTTTATTGTAGATAGTTTCATTGGAATCGATTCACCTTTTTGAGCAAAATGTTTCTCTTCTCGAATCGTCGAAAACGGTAACAATGCTTAGTAGGATTGTTTTTTTATTATTAACTAGATGTGTCCGCGACTTTGTCTGCGCGGAATAGTTATTTTTGAACATCAACATTTGTACAGATGCTGATACAACTCTAACAAATAATTTGAAATAATGCATTAATTTTGTTACTGCTTTTGCAAGGTAATTTTAAAAGACAGACATGTACTGTCGGAGACATTTTTAGATCATTTAAAGAAGAATCATTCTTTCATGCTTTTCTTTTTTTTTTAATTCGTTTTCACAGCGCACGCTAAGGAAACTCTCAAAGGTGAATATTTATTTCGCAGAGTCATGTTATATAGTTTAGAGCCTTTCTTTACTAACAAACAGAAAGAAAAACAGCTTTATAATATCAGTATATTTTTTTACAGTTTTAGTTAATATAACATACAAAATAAACACCCATATAACTTTTTATTTGTATAGAGCATATACATACAGGCAAGGTAATGGAGGTACCATTAACTGTGACATAAAAAAAAATTTTTTTTTGAAAAAAAAAAAAATTTTTATCTTTAAACTACGACCCGACTTTTTTAATGCTTAACAGACTTGACTAGGATTGAATAATAGTGAAGCATAGCAAACCTCAGGTCCTTGTAAAATATAAGCTAAACCACGTTGTAAGCCATTAAAATATTTAATTAAAAATGTATCAATCACGTTAACCACTACGGATATCTTTAAAATATCTCTTCACTGTCTGTAGTTTACGCGAGTAGTACACATTTAAATAAAACACTTTAACGGTTTAAAACGCGAAATGTATTTGTATAACTTATTTGAAAATTATTTTAACTACGGTCCGACGTTTCGAAGCAGCCGTAGTCATGGGGAGACAACTAAATTTAACTATATATCATGTTTTAAATCGTTAAAGTTTATGTCTTTACTTTAATAATTAATCCTAATTTTGTATATCGTTTTCTCTATTTATGTATTAAGTAAAACCTGCTGTAGGATAAGCAGTGCATATAGGTATTCGCAATACAAAACCATTGATAGAAGTTACGTATATGACAGAATGAATATTGGCATATATTTATAAGACTATTGAGAGAGCTCCATACATCGACAACTGATAGCTAGGCTCAGTACAGATAATGAACGAGGTCTATTGTCGGAGTTTCGATCAGCTATTACACCTTTATACTGGTAATGGCAAGGTGAAATTGAAATTGGTAACGATTTTACGGCCAGCCCGTATAACTGGTGTTTCAACAAAAGAAATGATACGAATATTTCTGTTAACGATTACCATCATTTTGCAACTGCTATTGACGTGTTCAAATATTTCTTTTGTATATTTGGATTGAATATAACATCAGTGATCGTTTATCAACAATTTGTGATGTGGCCTTTGCTTTAACTTGTATAAAATAATATTATAAATACGCGATTTAAAACGCGAATTAGTTAAACTTATTTGAAAATTATTTTAAGTACGACCATTCGTTTCGGATGCCTTGCAGCAGCCGTGGTTACGGGAAGTTAAATAACTTTCAAATAAGTTTAACTAATATATATCGCGTTTTAAACCGTTGAAGTGTTATATTTAAATAATAGTTTATCAATTGACAACTTTAATATTCTTCACAAGGTCCAATGTATTACGCTGCTTAAGAAATCGTTGAAGATTCAGATTATGAAGTTTTTATTATAGTTATTTCTTTATTATGTAAATAGATTTTTTTATACAATGCCATCATGTTAAAAGTAATAAAGTTTTCGAAAACAAAATTCAAATTCTCAAAAAATGTGATTATTAAAAAAATTATTTAAACTATTTAAAACGTGGATTATAATAATTAATTTATTACTTACTTCTGGAGTTTTCAAACAAAATTCCTTAGGTAGTACCAAGTTAACATTACCAAAACAACTTGTAACAGTTTTGGATCAGTAATGTAATGTAAAAATTAATTCAATAATGTAAAATGACACTTGGCGATAAAAGGAGTGACGGCGAGTTTATTGCCAGTTCTTCTCGTTCGTTCTACGCCCTTGATTTGAGAACTGGTAGTAAATGTAAAGTTAGATTCTTTAATTATTTTGTGACGTTCATAAGTGTACATAGGTATGTCCTAATTTACAAAAATCATTTATTTATGTAGGTAACTATGTAGTTACCTACATAAATAAATGATTTTTGACTTTGACTTTGACATTACATCTCTACCTACATGGTAGCAAAAAGTTATACAACACAATTGCATATATACTACTGATTTACATGTTAAGAAACCTTTAAAATGTTCATATAAATTATAAGAAACCTTTGTATATTAGTGAATTGGATCTTGTATTTGCAGATTGTATTGAGAATATTATATCATTGTTTCTAGCTGGCCAGATCAAATCAAAGCCAAGTGGTGCTCACGCGGGTCAGTTTTGGTCTGTCTGGAAACTTTAGCTGCGAAGTAACGGCCGATGCACCGTCTTTTGCCACGTCCATTGTTTCCAATACTATGGACGTTGTTGGTAAGACTTTGAACATATTATATTTTTTCTTTTGTAATAAACAATCTTGTTTTATTATGATTTCTATAATGACGTTATATTAGAGTATGTTTTTGGACAGTAATCGTGATTCAAAATCCCTCAAAAAGGTTCTTATAAAAGCAATAATTTCTTTGGATTTACTTCTTTATTTAGAGTATTACTACAATGCGCAACATACATTTACGTTACGGTAAGCAACGGTACGGTGGCATTAATAAAGAAGAATAATAATAAAATATTTATTCATTCAAAACGAACAAGAGAGTTTTAAAATAAAGCGTCTCTGTCTCATACATTTTATCTGAGTTCTTAGCTTTTCTTGCGATACAATTGAACGAGAAAATTGTGAAACAATATGCGTAAATATATTTATTGTAGTATATGTTATTAGTTGATAAGATTCTCTGATATGAGCTTTTTATCTATTCTTTTAAAAATAATAGTTATTATTGTTTAACAAATTATTTAATATCATCAAATACTATCGATAACTTAATATTTTTTAAATAAGTGCCTGTGTGAAAAAAGTCAAGACAGTCAGACTGTCTATATTCATACTCGAATATGCGAAAGTACTGTACGGGTCTGCTTGTGGTTACTACCAAAGAATTAAGCTCAATTCTTGTTTATTTCGTATACTTATAGATTTCTCCTTGAAAATGTTTTTAAAGATAATAATGTGAACTTCTTCTATATACTGTACAGTGTTGCCACCATCAACGCCCTCGATTCAGACCAGTCAGCACTACTACATGCCAGGAGATGTGCTCCAAGCCAACTGCTCTTCGGGACCAAGTCGTCCACCTGCAGAGTTGACTTTCTTCATTAATGATATTCCTGTGAGTATTAATATTTGTTATAAGCATGTTTGTTCTTAACTGCCTTTTTTATGATAAAGAAGGACGGACAAACATGGGGTTCGCTTGATGGTAGTCGAAATACCCCAGTCATTTAACATCTAAACAAAATGCGCTGTCGGCAAATTTTGCCGATACTCGGGAAACCACAGACTGAAACTGAGACGGGATTAAACTTTGCAGCTTTTTCAATTGTGATGGTTCATGGCCCATTAATATCAGAGCCATTTAATATTTAGAAAATTTCCAAACAAAGTCCAACATTCGTTTAGAAAAAAAATTTGGTAAAAATTGTATTGAGCGGAAAAGTCTTGGGTGCATGTACTGGCGCAACATAACGAATAGGCACAGATAGTATAGATAGTACAAAAATTGTTATGCTCCAGGTTATAACAAAGAGGAAATGGGATCGCTCACAATTTGTTTTACGTCTTATTTTGTTACCCTGATATTAATATTTAAAATAAACGCATTTAGTACAAGAACATTAACACAATCATTAATTTAGAAGTAAGGCCTGGCTTTTATTACTTTTCATTGTTAAAAAACATATAATCGAATTTTATTTACATTAATACATTTCAGAATCTAGTTATAACAGAGAATTTGATCACAAAAAATCTTAACAAAAACAGTATCAATTCAATTCAAATATTAAAATACAAACATTAAATTGAAATTTGTTCATTTATTTGCCTGAAAAGGCATACATAAATAAATTCAATACCTTTGTGAATCGAATTTGTAACGTATTTTTACTCCGAGAACTTCTCAATGTAGACTAATCAAAATTCTGAAAGTTGAGAACTAAACTTATTTATGAGCTAGATTCACAATTTGTAAACAACCTTGTTTACTGATCTGTGCGAAGGTATAAGCTCGAATACACATCAGCGATTTTTAAAGTTATACCGGTAAATTTGGTAATTGAAAGTCAATATGTCAATAAATCTTTAGACTTTCACTTGTTCTAGTGCACAATGGTAGCATTGTATGGCTAATGGGAAGACTAACGAGCAATGAAAAAAACTTTCACTGTTGGTCGTGGGTTCCTTCCCCGACCGTGAAATAGTGTTTAATTTAAAAAAAAGAAGTATGATATAAATTTATATATTCTAAATTAATACATACTGATATATACATTATATTCTTGCATATAATTTCTTGCAGACAAAATTTTCAGGAATAGAATTTCAGCTTTTATCCTATTTTCCTAACCATTTTAAATAAAGATTTTGTATCGTCCAATAAAATTTTAAGTATTATTTAACCTGTTAATTTATTATTCTTCGTAAAAGTTGCTTATACGGTACGGTTACTAATCTGATTAAAAATTTAAGTGGATCCATTGTTCGGTCGCTAAAGAAAATGAAAGCCTAAAAGTTTGTTGGTAAAATTATTTATTGTGGCCTTATCTTTTAGGTATTTTTGAATGGTATTGAATTATTTATAAGTTGAAAATAATCAGAGATTCTTACCTTAGTAAGTACTTACGGTACCTACTAAACTTACAAATACTCAACTCACCTAAAGAGAAATCTTAAAACAGACAATAAAAAGGTGTAATCCTGTTTCCCTCGTGGGACATGGGGCGAACACATTTCTGTGTCCGTTTAACTGATGGGTTCTTTTACAGGCAAGTAGTAAATCAAACTTGCGTACCCTGTCCGAAAGAAACAAACTATTATTTACCCAGGATTCGACTCAACCTCTGGTACTTAACGCAAGACGTTTCACCATTTGGCTACAAACGCCGTCAAAACTTGTCGCTAACATAGTTTATAGATAGATAGATAATGTATATAAGCTACAAAGCAATATATTAGTAGTGTCTAATAGCTAATAGTAAGCTTTGACACGGCGTAACGCGTTTTTCACGTACAGAATAAGCCGGTATAGTTAACGCTCAACGTAGATTTTCAGCATATAATCATTTCATAACACTCGGAGAAAGACTATGGAAGCCACTAAATCCCAGAATTCATGAAACTTCATCACTACCGACAAAACAAAACAACTCAAAGCATCCCGCATAAAATTACTTTCCATCAGGTTATTTATTTAATTTGCATTTCATTAAAACTTGCATAATTAACTGATTCAAAACTTATTCTCCGACATTTCAAATGATGTTTGCGTTGGTTAATAGACAATCGTAGTTAATGTAAAATTATGAATTTAATAATTATGTAAATTTGTCTACGTACGTAAAATAACTCAAATACTGTCTATAGTTTACGCGAGTAGTACACATTTAAATAAAACACTTTAACGGTTTAAAACGCGATATATGATTACTAATATATCGCGTTTTAAACCGTTAAAGTGTTTTATTTAAGGTAACGTAATATGCATCTATTACTAGCTGTGTTAGCGACTTTGTCAGCGCAGAATAGTTATTTTGGTCATCAATATTTGTATTTGCAAGCCTCCTCTTCATCTTTATAAATTAAAATTACTTGTGACTTCGATCGCGTCTAGTCGTATCCGGACATTTTTTTTTTAATTATCTATAGAGATATCATTCTTTCATACATATCTTAGCCACGTCCAACATGTTCCTAAAATCTTTATCTTCTTAATACATGTTCGATTGGTTTAATCTTGACTACGGGCTAGTTGATGTAATGGCAGCAATGTATGACTGATAATCAACGGGTCGCAGGTGTGATCACCACCAAGATGTACTTTCTCTGGTAATCTGGATATTAGGATCGATGGTGGGAATTCCGTCCGGCCCACGAACCACCAGCCAATGAAAAAGCCGTGGAATTTAATCGCGTTTCGGTTTAACTCGGATTTTCGAATATACGAAGTCTAAATAGGTTGACGGAAGTCTTCTTTAGATATGGCTGGGGTGTTTTACCTACCATCAAGCGAGCCCCATGCCTGTCAAAAACTGTTCAAAAACCTTTCAGCTTAGATATTATTATAATTATAACTGTATAAAGCCACGCGACATATAATCGGTAGCTGTTTCGCCATTAATTAAAGTTTTTATTTCACTAAAAGTTTTCCTGTTTAAGTCCTAGTTCGTTCAAAGCGCCATAATCCCGACATATCTCATTAGCTGCGGCGTTTAACGTTAGGTGTTAAAAAACTTTAAACTTCGCAAACTACTGCAAAACGTAATTACTTCACGCTATAACGGTTTCCGTGTGAAAATTAATAGTAAATTAGTAAAAGAAGTACTCAGTGCGAACTCGGAGTTACAAAGCGATGTTTTTCTATTGTTTACTGTGAAATTAAAATACGCGAATGGTTTTTTTACTAACAATGTTAAGTTTTCAGGATGTTATAATGGTTTTAGCTTGCTTCTTGACCTGGCCGCAGCTTATAAATGAGAAGGATCTAAAAACATAGATCTACCACGCTGCTATGTCGCTAGGACGGTGTGAAGTATTAAAATAAAAATTCTGGACTAATTCACGCGATCCGGGCGTCGAATCTTGAACCTAATAATCTGCTGTCGAATATCCCACTACACCGAAATGAATAAATGACTGGGTTTTTTAATATTCCATTAGAATGTTATAACGAATGGTATAGATAAATAGAGAGAGCAGGTGGCATAATTATTGGTAAAATTTATTATTGATTACGAAAAATAATTAAAGAAACTTAAACTCAAAGATGACCTTAAGATAACAATGCCATACACTAGAAACAAAATTCCTTTGTCTGAATGAAAATTTTGTTATATATTTATATTATAGTATGATAACTAAAGTACATTATTTCACTGTAAATATGTCACTTTTCACTGTAAAAATAACTCCAAATATAATGAAATTATTGTTACAAATTAAAGCACCTCAACTTGATTCATGGCAACACAATCAAATAATGTTTTCTATAGAAAATAATATAACACAAACAATGTTAGCCATTTTGAAAACCCGACCTCGCCTTTCGTCCGTTATGTTCAATTTATTTAACTCCATAAACAGAATATTTGATAAGGGCTAATTTACAAATTTTCGTGTAATCATACATTTATTATTTCTTCAAAGGGCTGTGTTTGCAAGTTAATTATTTTCTATTATTTGTGATGTATCTCGTGAAACTCTAATTTTAAAATATTGGTTCGTTAAATTTATTGTTATTATGTAAATAAAAATTGTATTGCTCTTCTAATAACTGTATATAACGTATGCGAAGACTATATAGCGATAGAAACGAAATGATTTAACAGAACGAACAAAAAGAAAATGTTTAAGTATGATTCACGCAAGTAGTAGCACATTAATTTCAATTCCTCCAATAATCATTTATTTTTTAATGTGATCATTTTTTATTGCTTGACAGGTCACACCAGGTCTGCACACCGCGCAACCAGCTCCTGAAGGTCTTTTCCATTCGGAACTCTACGTTCAAGTCCACCTTTGGCCCGCTCATTACGAAAGGGGGGCACCGATTTTACGTTGTGAAGCAAAAGTCGGAGACCTATATAGAGAAAACTCAGCTGTGGCTTTATACTCAGCAAATAGTGATCCTAAAATCGAGAGAGGTAAGGGTAAAACAATATGAAACATTTGTCAGGACTTCAAATCCCTAATATAGGAAATAAAACAGAATGTATATTTTTAATAATCTTTTCTGATTCAATAAAAAATACAACGATAATAACAGTCGAGTTGGTCGGCCGATTGCTTAACGAAAGACGAAAAAGTCGGCAAGTACGCGGTACGGCGTCGCACTCATTTGATTTCATTGTAAGGCACTTGTGAATCTGACCATACTTTAAAATAGGCCAATACTTAATAACAGTTGCTTAATACCGGAACTTCTTTATCTACTAATATAATAAAGCTGAAGAGTTCGTTTGTTAGAACGCGCTAATCTCAGGAAATACTTTTTGTGTTGATAGACTATTTATCAAGGAAAGTTTTTATAGTAAATAAATTTGGTATAAAACTAATGAATTACCAAGTATTTATTATAGTGGTATGTACATAATAATATTCCACGCGGACGAAGAGGGCACAGCTAATTCTCAATAAGACACCGATCAAACAATCGGCCGATAGTCGCGTAGTCTGTGCGTAGCCTAACCGAATCTCCCAGAAGACAAAACACACTATCACATACATGCGCAGGAAACGCAATAAGATTAATATAGGGGTCATTGAGACCGAGCATTACGGCCTCAGGGATCATTTGCGAAGACAATTTCCTTTGGAGCACACAGAAGCGTTCTTGTTATATTTAGCTCGCTACATTGTTATGAGATATGAGATTGCGCTTAGAGTGGCTTCCCGTCTTTCCACGTATCACTGCGACTTTCATGGCCCGACTTTCTTAGAGGTTTTATTTATAAAGACCGCCTCTTGCAGAGTTTTCGCTTTGTGGCTCTTGTTTTCATTATGTTAACGTTTTTATTAGAACCCTGTATTCATTTGTGAATTTTAGTTATTGCTAATTCTAGTAATATGTTTCTCATTACAAAATCAGCTATTTTATTACTTTAGATTTATAGAATATTGTGTCAGCTAACAGGCTCGATGGTCTAATGGTAGCAATGTATGGCTAATAATCAACGGTGTGGTTCTTTGTTAATAATATATAATGATGGACTTAGTCTGCAACTCTGGATATTAAATGAGTGGTAGGAATGTCAAAATACCGCCCGCGTCACGAACCACTGTCCACAAATGGAAAAATCCGTTAGGTTTATTCGCGTTTCAATTTCAGTCTGGGGATTTACGAATAACCAAGCCAAAATAGGTCGACCGCGCATCCTGTTTAGATGTTATCAGGTATTTCAGCTTCCGTCAAGTGAGCCCTACGCTTTCCTGTCCTCCTCTATGTTAAAAAAATGACATTCAAATAAAACACTTTAAAGGTTCAAAACGCGATATATTAGTTAAACTTATTTGAAAATGAAAATACTTTGCAGCAGTCGTGGTCACGGGGAGACGGCCGCTGCAAAGCATCCGAAACGTCGGGCCGAAGTTAAAAATCATTTTCAAATAAGTTTAACTAATATATCGCGTTTTAAACCGTTAAAGTGTTTTATTTAAATGTGTACTACTCGCGTAAACTATAGACAGTATTTAAAATGACATTCACCACAACGCGATCCTCTAGAAAACATTTATATTTAACTAACACTAGTTGAAGACGAAGATTCGAATTCAATTTTAATAATATTACATTTTTTTCAGTTACTTCGCCCGGAGCTGCAGCCAAATTGCAAATGTGCCAAATCTTAATCCTTCTTTGCATCATCGTGTGGGCTAATAATACATAGAGTTAAGTAGAAATTGGTGTTATTATTTGTCCTGAGAGAATTGTAATTACCAACAAACATTAGGGTTATAAATAAGCTCGTAAAACGTGTTCTTACTATATTATAGGTTACGTTCCACTTTTAAAAGTAACTGTTATTCTTTGAAGCTCAAAAACTTAAGTGTTGTTTTGCCGTGCACGTAGAAAATTAATTGAAGATTTTCTTAACTGCTTAGGAATTTTCTTAATCGAGTTTTGGCCTTATTAAATATGATTTATTATTTTCCAATACAATATTCCATGTTTTCTATACTACGCGCAGAGTAACAAGTAATATTAAAATAATAAATCCATGTAGTTTGATGTTCAATAATTGATGTATTAGGCCTAATAATTGATTATAATTCTCTCGGAATAAAAAAGACCAAGCAATTTGTAAAATAAATAATTAATATAGATGTAAAATAGCCGTAAACAGTTCGTTATTGAATTGTGAATTTAATAGTAATTGTACCTAAACGAGCTGCTAATTATACCAAAGAATGTAAAGACTAAGATATTGTTGATTTAATACAAATTATATGTCGATATATTGTTTTATTTCTATTCTAATAAATAGCATTTTGAGTTTATTATTTTTTCTGTTGTTTATAACATGTCCACTTCGAACGTTTCTTTCACATAGTTCTAAGAGAAAGGAACAGCAGTCTATTTTCAAATATATTAAGTAAAATAATTTAAGAGGAAATGTACATATACACATATATATACATAGTGTCCTGTTGATAGGAGAATTATAAAAAAAGATATTAATACAACATTAAGAACGTCAGAGATAAAACAATTAAAAAAATATATATACAGCGGTGGGATTCGAATTTACGACTTTACTAACGTCGATGCAGTCATAGAGGAAACATAGATTGGAGAGATGGTCAGCTGATTTTGTGGTCTGATCATCCGGCCCTCAACTGAACCTAACAAAATTACACTGTCGGTCATGAATTCGTGTCCCGACTGTATAATCAGTGGTTATAAAAATACTACTTCTATGTTCCCTCGCATTAACATCTGAAAACGATGAAGAAGAATAATATCTATGGTAATATATCAGAAGTAAGTTTTCTTTGATTGCACTTTTTAACATTAGGAGAATAACTTTTTCAATAACCGGCGCAAACGATCGGAAATCGGAAAGTCTCTCCACCTCAACAATTGAATGAAAAAACTTGGGAGTCCTCAAAACTTGGTACATTGTGAAATTAATTGAAAAGTCACTGCTTTCAGCGCTTGATTCAAACTACGAATTGAAATGTTTTAAATGGGTTTTAATTACTGGATGACGATAATAGAGGATTTGAATGGAATTCAATTTTAAAATTATTATCGATGTGAGATTTCAAAATAATTTCCTGGTTAATATAGCATAATTATCAAACAGAATAATTCATATCTTCACTTCATTTTGAGAGATGTAAACAATTAAAAAAAAGTTATTTTAATGTCTATGCAATATCAAAAAGATAGACAAGCCTACATCGGTTTCTAATCACACAGGTTTGAGATTCAAACCTCAAAAAAACAACAGACTTAATAAAACAGTTTAAATACTTTAAAAAGTGTCATGTATTATTAAATATTAACAAGGTATAATATATTAACAATTTAACGGGTTTATATTTTATAGGTAAAGGTTAATTAACTATTACTAAATCATATTGGTGCTATGTATGAAATCTCTTTTTTTTTTTACTGAGACGTGATACGAGACAGCCAATGGACACGAGATATGTACCTAGAATAAAAAAAAAATTTGGCAAATTTTTTTGAAAGTGTCAACGTTTTGACGTATTCTGCCTTTGTGATACATCAAGACCTGGTTGCAGGCCTTAGGTAGACCACCGATTGAACATACTGATGTTATTTAGAAATAATTATGTGTCAAATTCTTTATATGTTTAAATAAGAATGAATATTTTGAAGCACAGTACGTTTACGTATGTACATGAATAAAATACCTACTTTGTACTCGTATCTATTGTTATTAAAGGTAAACTTGACCACGACTATGTGACCCCCCCTGGTGCCAATTGGATCCGCCCTTGATAACATTGTAGATATTTTTCAGATGAAAACAGCCGAATGCAATAAAACTCACACGAACATCATAAACTTCTATAATACAAACTGGAAACGCTCTGCGAGGGAATGTGATTAAAAACTTCTCTCTCTCTCTCTTTATTGCGCGAGATATTTGATCGGCATCGCCAATTTCGCATGATGCTCTACGTTTTTCTGTCAATTGCTTTTCAACTGAGATTTAAGGAATATTAAGTCAAGAAAATACACCCACGGATATTCTTTAGGGCCTATATGCACTAAGTGGTTACCGCATTGCGATTAACATCTATATCAATATTATAAAGCTGAAGAGTTTCTTTGCTCGTAAGTTTATTTAAACGCGGTAATCTCAGGAACTACTAGTTTGAATTGAAAAAAACATTTTTCTGTTGGTGAGAGCATTTATCGAGGAAGGCTATAAAACATTAGGCTGCGACCAGAAGAAATAACTTTTCTACGCGGACGAAGTCACTGAGACAGCTAATTAAAAATCTGTATGAAAAGGGATGCACCTATATGCTGCCGTTGCACGACTACTGCGGCTAACAGCGACGATAAGCCGCTGGGTGTGAATGGGCCCTTAAAATCTTATGCTGTTGATTGCTGACCGCATTGAGGTAAGTCGGCCAATGCCTATCGTTCCTTAAGACACAGTGAATAACATATTGTTGTTCAATATTTAAATAGATAAAATAAAAGACTTACTTGAGAGATGTTGTATTATAAGAAAAAAAGGAGGTATGTATCAACTGGTTAAAGAAGTTCGACGAAGACACGGTAACATAAGTCCAACAATGCAGACAAATGTGGTTTAGAAGTTATATTACGCATTTAATGTGTGAAAATAATTTTTCAAACAGATCAACGGACTCATTAGTTCAATTTATGTCGTCTGTCTATTCTTACAGTGTCTCTGAGTATGTCAATATCACATACCTGGAAACAGATATTCCCGAACATTACTATTTCCCCTCATGGAAAGTAGATTCTTGAGCAGGTAAATAGGTTGATAAAGCAATTTATTAAGATACAATCATACAATTTACTTATTCAATATCTCTTGATATTGAGTGATGAAATACTTTTCAAACGATTTGGTTTCTTTTAGTTTTGTTTTGGTGTATAGCTCTGTCGAGTGTTCCATTGTATGGGAGCCAACCTAAACCAAAGCCGAGTGATTGCGACGCTCTAGGGAGGTTGTCGTTAACTCGAGTGACGTTTACATTGAATATTGAAATAGCAAAACCCAGCCCATACGATAAAGGCATGGGGAGTATCAGAAGTGGGATTATGGGGAGTATCTCAATATCTATACTAATATTATAAAGGTAATGAGTTTGAACAATTGTGATTTGTGTTGGTTAGATCATTTATCGAGGAAGGCTATATTCAATAAAACACCACGCCGCTAATAATAGGAGTAAAGAAGCGATGGGATATGTGGAGAAATCGTGAGAAATATTCCTCTTTGAGGGTTTCCGTTGCAAGCGCTGCGAAAACGGTTCAAGGCACCCAAAAAATATGAAGATAAGAATGATTTCTCTATAAATGATCTAAAATAATGTATGCGACATTATATGTATTCTATACGATTAACTTACAAGAACTGTTTTTATTTTAATCAAATTTGGTCGTAACACAATGTAACGCTTGCCAGGTCAATTGCTAGTTATTAAATACGAGGAATTATTTATTGTCTGTAGTTTACGCAAGTAATACACATTTAAATGAAACACTTATAATGTTCCCCTCGGTCGTCCGGGTCAACTACTCGTTAACTATGCGCCGACAGCACAATATACTGGTCAATTACTATTTGACTGCGCGTCGCCGCGGTAAATGTCGGCGTCAATCTGTGGTTGACGTGGACACCGCGCTCAAATAAGTCGAATATGCTCGTCCTTATCGCTCTCGAGGTTAGTTATTATATTCTATCTCGTTTTTCCGTAAAATTTCCCGCCATATCCATCACAGTCTAGTATCCAAACCATAAAAAAATGTAATAATAAAATAACGGTCCTCAGTCAGTGACGTGTTGTCAGAGGTGAGTGTTGTGATTTTTGTTTGATTGTGTTTTTGTGATTAAAAGGTTACTAATATGCAAGTGTGATACCTTATTGAATGGACATCAAATGTGCTATAAGATATGTTAATATAAGACGACTTTAAAACGCGCTATCTCAAGTTTAGCACGGCACAACTCTGGACCAGAGTTCTAATGATAACATTGTATAGACCGCTTAATGGTAACCGTAAAAAATAGAACATTTGACAATCTTTCAAAATCAAACTTTAGTCACAAGGACCGATAGCGTAAAACCAGACGCGTGGCGTTACAAACAGTGGGGCACAACAGGGTGGCCTAGTTTCTGTCGCTGAGCGTTTGATCCTAGCAACGGTAGAGAGGCCGGGCATAGGCGTAGTCCAATTTTTCAGCCCCGGGCGACCGAGAAGTAAATAACTTATTTACAACTTTCCTTGACATTTAGTATCCTAACTTGCTATGCTTTCATCAGACAATACCACGCTCAAAAAATAACAGATATTATTGTTTACACAAATACAAAGCAAAATCCGTACTGTTCAACAGTATATTTAGCGTTATCTGTGAAAATTGTTTGCCAATACATCAAGGCTGTTTGTTTTGACAACTAATATCTTTTGCTTTTTGTTTCCATTATATAAATTAAAATATATATTAATTTCTTTTTTATTAAATAAATAATTACAATAGCTAAAAAATATAATGATAGATATAATATGATAAAGAAAAAATGACTGGATGGACTTAAGCCTACAAGCACCAGAGTACTTGGTAAGGTAATATAACTTTTCATTAGTACAGTAAACAGTTTTGAATCCTGCGCTGATATTAAGAATTAAAGTAATTATATTTTTTAT